TATAATAATAGACAAACATGGTAATTGACCGTACCTTCACTACGCCTCCCATTTGGCTAATCAGTGCAATATGCAAATTAATCCAACCAAGATGGCAGCCGGCAGCCACACAGCTGAAGCGAGCAGGTGGCTTGCTTGTTCCAGTGATGGAGGAAGCCAAGGTTCCCCGCCTGCTGTGGCCCGGCTCTGAGCTCCAAAAGCAACAAAGTTTCAATTATAGAAGCTAAGCAAACCCCAGATACCTGCTTTCAGCAGGCTGGAGCGAGTAGGAGCCGGCTCTCATCTCCAGTGACGGCAACAAAGTTTCAATTACAGAAGGTAAATAAATCCCAGAATTAAAAAAGAAAAGAAAAAAAGGAGAGGCTGGGAGCTTCAGTCGCTGGCCAGCCTGAAAACGGCCCTCAGACTCTCACCCAGACTGGCCAGGCACCCCAGTGGGGACCCCCTCCCTGAAGGGGGTGTGACCAGCTGCAAAGAGCCATCAGCCCCTCACCCAGGCTGGCCAGGCACCCAAGCAGGACCCCCACCCTGATCTGGGACACCCTTCAGGGCAAACCAGCAGGCTTCCACCAGGCCTCTATCCTATATAGTAAAAGGGTAATATGCAAACTGACCCTAACAGCAGAAAGACTGGGAATGACTGGTCACTATGACACACACTGACCACCAGGGGGCAGATGCTCAATGCAGGAGCTGCCCTCTGGTGGTCAGTGCGCTCCCACATGGGGGAGCTCTATTCAGCCACAAGCCAGGCTGATGGCTGCCAGTACAGGGGTGGTGGTGGGAGCCTCTCCTGCCTCCTCAGCAGCGCTAAGGATGTCCGACTGCAGTTTAGGTCTGCTCCCCGCTGGCAAGTGGACATCCCCCGAGGGCTGCCGGGCTGCCAGAGGGATGTCTGATTGCCAGCTTAGGCCCAATCGCCCGGGGAGCAGGCCTAAGCCAGCAGGTGGTCATCCTCTGAGGGGTCCCAGACTGCGAGAGAGCACAAGTCGGGCTAAGGGGAACCCCCCCCCCCGAATGCACCAATTTTTGTGCACCGGGCCTCTAGTTAATAATATTCTCAAAAAGGCATCATTAATGATTCCATGTCACTTGATCAAGTGCACTATTATATATTAACTAGAGGCCTGATGCATGAATTCATGCACAGTTGGGGTCTGGCCAGCCTGCCCCGATGGGGGACCATCGGGCTAGGCTGGTGGAGGGGAGGGGCTGCGGGCAGTTGGCCAGCTGGCCCCGCCTCTGATCAGGGTGTTGGAGGCCGATCGGGGGTTGGGCCGGCCAGAGGGCGGGGGGTGGGAGGGCACGGGGTGATCAGGGCCCAGATCAGGCTGGTTGGCTGCCGCAGTGCACATCATAGACACCTGTCATTCTGCCATTCTGGTCGCTGGGCTTTTATATAGAGAGATTGGAAAAATGACTGAGCATTATTGCATGTTTGGAGGGTCCCAGTTAACACCCTTTCTCTGGTGAGGTCATGGAACAAGAGCAGCGATGTCCTGAGAGCAGAAGCACCAGATCATCAGTCTAACACCCCTGGCAACAGCCACTCTGCCCAAGGATAAAAGGAAGGAGTACATGGACAAAAAATGCTTCCTCCAGCACCAGCAAGAGGACAGATTAAAGAGACATTTGAGAAACGTGAGGGGGGAAGAATGCTAATGCCCTAATTGCTACTATTCACCCCAAAATGTTTATACTTTACCAATATTTACATTTATCTTTTTAAAATGAAAAGCTCCTTTAACAGAATTTTGATTTTTTATAATATAGCCCTACATTCAACTTAGAAGAGTTCTGTTCTGCCATATGTTGACAATCCTATCTAAATAGATCTTGCCCCTAAGATACTCCATCACCTTACTTTGCTCTATTTTCTTCACAGAAATGAATAAATGAATGCTGTAAGCTAGCCCACTTTTTCTACACTTGCTCAAAATCACTAAATCAATAAAATGAGAAGATTGGGATGACAAATAACATGGTAACTGTATTGCCACTCTCCCCCACCATAACAGTGGACTGGAGACTCACTGTACTCTGTCACCGAGTCCAACTGAGACTTTAGAATTCTGGCCAATATAATCCCAGGCAGTGCTTCCTTAGCAAACTGAAATCTACTTGATTGGAGACCAGACACAGATATTTTAGCAATTTGAATGTGTTGTTCCTTCCCATTCATACTACTCTAACAAACTTTATAGGTGTTGAGACTGTGATTTCAGGATTAGTATTTTAGTTTCATCTTCAACCCATATTAAGGGGAACTCTGGATACCCATTACTGGGGGACATGTTAAAGGAATTTGAGGTCCTTAGAAAGTCATCTTGAATTTTAACACCACCAGGAGGAGGTACTGGACTCATCATAGACCCTTTAGAATACAGTTTCCATGCACGTTAGCTCAAGGTAAAAATAAGGGACCCATCTTGCTTCAAGGAATAATAATGAAGAATACAGGAAATAATCTAACCTCAAAGTACTTTCCTGGATCAAGGGCAGAAGATGTAACTTCTTTAAGATTTAGAAACTAAATATCGTCTTAAAGATCTTTCAATGAGAGGGTATAATTTGAACCCTGTAAAGCTTTTTTCTTTTTCCTATAATTTCAAATCCCTGCCTGTTTTTCAGCAATAAACAACTCCCCGCTGGCTATTCAAACCCCCCTTTTTGAACCCCAGTCTGCTCATTAATTTCACTTCAAAAGAGTGTCTATCAAGTGCATACAAACTGAGTAAGTAAAGGCACATTTATACGAATCTACTGCTTATTTTCCATTATTACTGCCATGGAATAACCCATGTATCCTTATGCTACCACAATAAGAAATAACTTTTAATTTCATATAATTTTCATGTGTCATAAAATATTATTCTTTAAATTTTTTCAACTATTCTTAGCTTGTTAACCATACAAAAACAGGCAGTGAAATGAATTTGGCCCATGAGCCATAGTTTGCTGACCCATACTTTACATTAAAAAAACAAAAACAAAAAACTCTGCTGATTAAGTAATAACATCCTATTACTATGTGACTTGTGCCTCTTTTTTCCTGTCTTATTTTAATTTAAAATATAATATATTTCACTTAATATATTCTTTTATTCATTATAAGTACTTGAGTCAGACGTTGGTTAAATGATTATATATTCATATAGCATAGGGGTTTTATTTACCTAAATGTCTGAAAGTTCATGTTAGATAATGTTATACTTTCATGGACATTTGTCTAGAATGTTAGTGAAATTATAATTTCCCTAACATTGGAAACAGGATTTTATTTCTCATGTCTTCCAATATCTTAGGCATTATGAGTGATTTACTGAGAAGAGAAAAGTAGTCAATAAGGATGGATGAGACAATCATTATTATCAATGCTTTTTTACAAACCTTCTTTCTCTAAAGGGAATGCACAAGCCAAACTTTCGTGTGGAAGTAAAGATTAAGTAATGGTGAGTTACTGAGAAAATAGGCATAAATATGAACTGGTAGGAGAGAAATAATAATAAGATCTTTGCCCAAAAGAAATGAGCCCAAATACAGAATTTCAAGAAGACAGTATGAGTAAGTTACTTTGGTTGGGTCTCCTTGCTAATCAGCCTTCTGTCCTCTACTGGTTGAGGGATAGGAATAAGTTTAAATTTTTGTAGGTAAAATTGAGGGCACCAGGTATACCAGTGGCTGGTTAAAAAGAACTGCATCTATAGTATTTTTCTTACATTGTCTATAAGCTTGTCAGCAATAGTACCATCCACTGTCTAGATTTCTACTGATACAACCATAAAAAGGAACGTAGAAATTACGCAGATAACTTAGGAAAAAAAAGAATGAATTATCTGGATTTTCTTCCTTGAATCTTCAGAAGAAGACCATGGTCCTAGGAGTCCATGTTACCATTCATCATCATGATATTTAACTTTTTTTTAATACATTACATATGGAATTAACAAAAGCAACAGCATAAACTAAACACAAACTTTAAGATGGAATGAACCACTGAGAGCACAAAACATATTTTCTGTTGTCTATTCTACCCACTTAATAAACTCATAAGTTCTACTTTCATTTTTATGCTAATACTGAGTAAAAATGAAATGCCTTGTAAACCTATTTTCTTCACAGTATTTGATTGTTTGCAATGTAAACGAATCCATTTTCAGGCTTAATGGTTTAAAGTAAGGTTGTAAACTTGTACATTTAGCTTGTGAAATTCATTTAAATGATATATAATATGATTTTAGAATAAAACGAATGATTTTAACATGATTTACAAAAAATAAAAATCAATTTTTTATTACCTTATTATCATATAGGCCTTAATTCATACACCAAACGTGAATGAAAGAAACATAGACAGCTAATTTATTTATTTTTATTTATTTATTTTTTTATTTTTTCTAATTTACTTTTAAAAAGGGTGGGTTGATATGATGATTCTGTGAGAATTAAGACAAATAAACAGCACACATGGGTTTACATTTCCAGTTCTCTTAAAAAACAAACAAACAGTTGTTACTACTATATACTGTTTCACCAGGCTTTTGGCAGTATCTTTGTTTTATAGGCACAGAATAAAGCCATGTGCCATCTGAGCAAGCAGGGAATCTCATTCTTTGTTATAGTGATAGAGAATATATATACTTGAGAAGGTATAACATTACATCCTCCTTAGTGTAATATAGTGGTTAGTCTATTCAATTAACAGTTACTTACTTTTCAGATAACCAGAACCTTTAAAACTAGGTAGAATCAATGTCATGTGCTAGTCTTTAAAAAAGAAAAAAAAGAACAAGAAAAACAAAAGAATCCTATATGTTAAATAAAACAATATGCTCTGAGGAAGAAAGCAATAAAAATTTGAAAATGAAGAATCTCAAAATAAAGCTTGACCCCACATGTTCATATTTGGAAAAGGTTTGCAGAGTTCTAAATCCACTAGGAAAGAGTAGAGAAGATTCAATTGAAATTATTTCACTCTAATTCAAAACATTTTTACTTACATCTTGTCTTGGCCTGCACCAACTCGGAGAGTCAATCTGGGGATGACTGGACTTGGGGCTGGGACAACTGGCTCCACTTTTATCTGTTCAAGTTAGGACATTAAGTGTTAATATATATATATATATATATCCTATATAATAAAAGGCTATTATGCAAATTGACTGAACAACCAGTCACTATGATGCGCACTGGCCACCAGGGGGAAGATGCTCAATGCAGGAGCTGCCCCCTGGTGGTCAGTGCGCTTACACAGGGGGAGTGCTGCTCAGCCAGAAGCCCTGAGCCTGGCTCACGGCTGGCGAATGCAGGCTGGCAAGCACAGTGGCAATATTGGGACCCTCTCCCGCCTCCACGGCAGTGCTAAGGATGTCTGAAGGCTCCCAGACTGCAAGAGGGTGCAGGCCAGGCTGAGGGACCCCCCCCCCCCCCGAGTGCACGAATTTCGTGCACCGGGCCTCTAATGTGTATGTATGTGTATGTGTGTGTGGGGTGTGTGTGTGTGTGTGTGTGTGTGTGTGTGTGTGTGTATATTTCACCCCCCCCCCCCACAACAAAAGTACCTCCTACCTCTTCTCCTACTTCCCCATCTCCACAAACTTGACAAGCAGATGTAAGCCTTAAATGTGGCTAACATACCAGATACAGAGATAATCTGGGCTATCCAATGTTTTAGTTTCTCAACAACTAAAGGCTACCTGGTATCATGAGAAATTCTACAAACTTTAATTGCTTTAGGTAAATGTGGCAGTTAACTCTGTATTTTCTTTTATATATATATATATATATATATATTTTTTTTTTATTGATTTTTTTACAGAGAGGAAGGGAGAGGGATAGAGAGTTAGAAACATCGATGAGAGAGAAACATCGACCAGCTGCCTCCTGCACACCTCCTACTGGGGATGTGCCTGCAACCAAGGTATATGCCCTTGACCGGAATCGAACCTGGGACCTTTTAGTCCGCAGGCTGATGCTCTATCCACTGAGCCAAACCGGTTTTGGCATCTCTGTATTTTCTTAGTGCTGGTTCATTTCTTGGATTATACTATTGGAATTATTTAAACAAAACTTGTTATCCAAACCATTTGGTAGAGCATTAAAGTAGTCGCCAGACCTACCAAGAATAGAAAAAGCAAACAATGATTTCGCTATTATAAAAGGCATTTGTCTACGGGACTTCAAAAATATTAAACTCATCTTAAGTTTGCATTATCATATGAAAATCTGAAACACCAAGTATAATTTATAGCAGTAAACCATTCAGTTTTTTGGCTAGTAGTACAAAGACCTGAAATACTGTAATATAAAGAAAATGTATTTTTGCAAAAGATTTTTGGTGAAGGCAACTGCTGAAGAAGTTGAAAGATCTCACAAATTTTGAAACTATTCTTTCTCACTAATAGAAAGATAATACGTATACAAATTAAATATGTTAAAAGGGATCTTCACAATTTTTGGTTTGAAGGTCCTATGGTGTAATAAATATTTTGAATGAACAAACTGAACAAAAGCTCTGCAGTTCCAAATTATTATCTGTATCAAAATCTTTCAATAGGGCTTTATTGCCATTTTTGGTTGGATAGTTCTTTGACTAAAATTGTCCTAGGCACTGCCAGGTGTTTAATATCCCCATCTTGGGTACTACTATACACACTGCCAGTCACTGTGACAATTAATTGCAAATCACTGATTATATATTTTAAGTGCAAGAATTAAATAATGATGAAACAGTCTGGTGGTTCTAAAAATGACCATAATAAAAAAGCATAATATGCTAATTAGACCAGATGTCCTTCTGGACGATCTTCCGGATGAAGCTGGGACTGTGAGGAAAGCCCAGGTCCTGGGTGCCTGAGGGAAGCTGGTGCTGGCAGCCAGGGGAAGGAAGGCCTACTCTTGCACGAATTTCATGCACTGGGCCTCTAGTATAACACAATAATCAATATACTATCAGAGAGAGAGAGAGAGAGAGAGAGAGAGAGAGAGAGAGAGAGAGCGAGCGCACACGGGCCAAATCTACTATTTTTTCATGTTTTTAACTGTCCCTTTCTAAAATTTATTTTTAATCCATTGTTACATCAAGATCTATGACTTTGGCTGCTAGGGAACTTCTTCAACTCCCTATAAATTTCTCTATATCCACAAATACACTAGAGCCCATCTCCTTTTGTCTTCTAAAGAAACCTCCTCCATCAATTAGCTTATTTATAGCATTTTCAACTTCTCAGTTCTATTCATTATTTTCATCTAGCTTTTAAATGTGCTTGACTTTTTTTTTTTTTATTACCTTCTCTTCAATCACTGGCTAACAACCTCACATATCTCTCAGTTTTCAATTCATTAGTTTCTCAGCCATTCCAATCTACTTTCAGGCCCTGAAATAATACTATTGAAACCACTATTTCTAGACATGAATTATTTCCTAATGTCCCAGTATGTTTTTCTATTATAGATATTATCAATCTCCTCTCTTCTCCTTTACAAAGCCCTCTACTTGTGCCTGACTTTACTTGGTCCTTTCCTCTTGTCATTCTACAGTTTGTTCAGTGATCTCATCCATGTCCATGGTTTTAATCTTAAGTTTTAAATATGCCATGTCTTTAAACTCATCCCCTCTAGATTAGCAATGATGAACCTAAGATTAAAATATAATGTTGTCTACTGAACATTTTCAACTAAATAACCTATGAATATTTCATCTCATCACATCTAAACTTTAACTTATCAACGTCCCCATAAAACCCTGCTCCTCTTAATGGTCCCATTTTGGACAGATGGCTCCTTCATTTGCCCAGTTTCTTGGACAGACCAGTCCAGTGGTTTTCCTAAAGGCCCTCAGGGATCAAGGTCCCTGGGGCAGGGCAATATCCATGTACAAGTAACTAGGTTGGCATTCACTTTCTTCCTCCCCGTCGTTGCAAAAATGTTCCATATCTAACCAATCAGAAAACCAATGGTCCAGTATACTCTGTAAACTATTAAGGCTTCTGTATTTTTCTCACCTTCCTGTGTGATCTGTGGGAGAATAAGCAAATATATTAAAACCAAACATTTATAAACCACATACTATTTGCCAGCCATTGCGCTTGGTTACTTTTCAGATGTTCTCCTTTAGGTTTTTAAATGAGTAAGTGGGATACATATTATGGTTTTCATTTTACAGGGATCATATACGAAGTCACCATTTTTCCTTTCTTTTCCATTTCCTTTCCCTTTTCCATTTTTAAGTCACACAAATAGCAAAAGTAGGACTGAATAGTTATTCTGATTCAAAGAATAAAAAATTACATAAAATTCCTAGATTTCTTCAATTCTAAAAAAAATTTAGGGTCACAAACTCCTAAGTGATGAGGTATTAGGAGTAATATTCCTTATTTCTTCAACCCACAATACAATTATTACATAACACTTTATTAAGCTTTAATTTTTAAAAAAGCTAGTTAAATCTAGGTTTCCTGACACCACATTCATCCCCTGCTCTACCATACAGCTCCTTGACTCTTTGCCATACACTTTGAGTTCTTTTTTTCTGGTAATGCTGATGTCTTGCATAGAGCTGTTCACGTTCTCTGTCAATGTCTTTTTTGATGAATGTACTTGTGAGATGGCAAGGGTTGGTTGTAAAATATTTCTTTTCTCTATGGAAGGCTAACTAGTTTATATGAAATTGAGATTAACTTTGGCTTTACTTCCATTCAACTAAAGTGGATGGATTTTTGATGCTGTCTTAAATGGTGTGACAGGGCAAAAGAATCCAGACATGGTTTATTTATGATCTACTATATAAAAAAAAGTAAAATGATACTGTGTGTAAAAAAATTAGCAAACAAAAATGGAGATAAATTTTGTAAGTAAAATTAAAAATGGTAAAAATGTGCTCTGAAGACGACAGATATTTAGTAAACCTGCTGAGTTGATGAATGACTTAGAACCTGCTACCTTAGCTCAGTTTTAGCTATAATGAGGATGAAGACATCATCCAAACAGAGACCCCTTTGAGGTGAAAGTGGGCATTATATAACATAACAGGTGTAAACTGGGCTGTCCCAGGCAAACCAGAACATCTGGTTACCCTACTCTAAAATACTTACAGACCTAAACTTCATTCTTAAAGAAGCTAAATCAGATTAACCTAAATATAAAATTCAAGCAAGTATTGAGAAAGATTAATAGGGATTCTAATAATATATAGAAAGTACAATTTCTAAATAAAAATTTCTTACCAGACTTTTATTTACAATAACTTTACCCAAATGCCTACCAAAATAAGAGATGTTTCCTACAATAGTAAAAGTAATTTCTCATGTGTTCTTCTCAGGAATCAACAAACTAAATGGTAACTACTTCAGTTACTTAAGCAATATGACTAAGCCAAAAATGTGAGAAGACATGAGCATCTAAGGGTTAAAATAAAGAACAGCCCTTTAGAGTGTTGCTGAGAATTGGGGCACGCAGAAGAGCATTTACAGTGGATTACTAAGCTTCCGAATTCACCAAAGAGGCAAAGTCCAGTAATATAAGACTTCTTTGTAGCTAACTAAAAATACATTGTCAGTGGATTTGTCCAGTTTTATGTATAAGCAATACTTCTTTCACCTGAACTAATACTAGTAGTCATATAAGCCCCTTATTGCCATGTGCTGCATTTTTTTTTTTGCTAATCTTCAAGGATTTAGCTTCTTTGCCACATACCTCAGGGCACCAACTGATAAAGCTCTAACTCTCCATTTTTCCAGGACACCAGCAGTGCGGCCTTGCAAAAAATGAAAATCGCTCAAGAGATTTAAAGGAGAAATTTATTTTTAAAATCCTGACTTGAAGCAAAGAGGTGGATTTTTAAAAAGCTTATCTATAAAGAATCAGTTTAAATTTAAATTCTATCTTGGAACTCTTTCATGCATTCCAGCTTTAAAGTTTATCTTCTGACAGGGACTTTCTGCAAAGGTAATGGGTAGCTTTGTCAATATAATCTGGCCAAGTTTTTATTTTCTACTTTTTTTAATATTAAACTTTTTTCATTTAAAAAAAAACACCCATATATGAGTGCTAGGTAGGGTGGCAACAAGTTCAGCCAATGCTAAT